TATATTTCTCCATTACGTAAAATTGATATTTTCACTAGTGAAAATAACATGTTATTTTCACTAGTGAAAATAACACATTCGAGGTTTCTCTATATAATGCAAGTAAGAAAAAAGGTATTTTACGACATAATTTGCTTTCATATAAAACCATATGATAAACAGAATATTACATGGTCGCTTGGAGATACGAATTTTATCTTCTCGTGTTGAAAATCGCTACGCTCACTCGTGAGAGATCTTTTCAACACTCGAAGATAAAATCCGTATCTCCGCGCGCCCATGTAATATCCTCTATATATTTCGTATTGATACTATATGCACTCCATACGGTACTAAATATCTTCTCGTTTTCTAGTTGTTATATTTAGGACAGATTTGTAAGAAACGTTTTAATAATGCATGAGCTATAAKGCCAACCAGGTCGTCCCAACTGGGTCACATGCGTGGTCTTTATATCATATAAAGCGACGGTAGCATTATTATATAACTTAACCACATTTGTAATAATAATAATAATACTGTTAATTTTTTAAGCGCTTATACAGCTCAGATCTAAGCGCTGAGAAAAAAAATACAAATAAAAAATTACAGGTTATAAATAAAAATTTACAAATTAAAGGCAAGTTTGAAAAAATAAGTCTCAAGGCAGGATTTAAAAGAGTTAATGTCAGTAATATTTCTAATAGAGGCAGGTAGAGAGTTCCATAATATGGGAGCAGCAACAGAAAACGAACGATAACTACAGGACTTTAGATTGTACGATTTTACAGACAGCAACACTTGAGATGACGAACGAAGTTTTCGGGCAGGACGGTATCTTTGAACAAGTTCTTGGATATAAATGGGAGCAGTAGAATTCAGAGCTTTGAAGAGAATTCAATTTGTGAGAATTCTCGCGCGCTAATGGATTGATAGGAGTGTGTCAATAAGAGGACGTTTACACTGTCCTTACACTACCAAGTCTCGCACGCGCACACAGTTGAAAAAAAGAATGGKTTTGGACTTGCTGCGCTCTTGGGTCCACTGGAGTTTTCAATATTTTATGGTGTCAAGGACGTGTCTAACTCAAAACCCAGCATATTTTGTTTTAGACACGTCTCTTTATATAGAGAAAAAAAACTGGTTGATTTTAGATTTATGTAAAGTGTATGAAGAGATATTTTGGTAGGTATATTTTGTGACTAGGTGGGAAACGGTAAACTAGTGTGAGCTGAGTCGCGTTCTTTCTAAAGAAACAGTTGTGAAAAAAAAATTAAATCTTAAGTGCTACTTGCATGAAATTTTGTGACTAGACCAGTTTCGCATATTATTAATTGCTCGCCCATTACAAATGCAATGTCATCAAAATTTTATTGAATTGYGCAAGCAATAACATTGAATTTAAATATTGAACTTCATGCCATGGCACAGGGATCCCAATTCGAAACTCACCACAGGGATCCCATAGAGAGTTGGATAACATCATAATATACTTTCTTGTAAGAAGTGAAGCGCCAACTCTTCATCTTCCATGAGCGACGATCTGTTATTATCAGTTTCGTCTTCGCTTGGCTCGTTATGGCGCTTTCGTCTCTTTTTAGATCTGAAAGGAATAGAATTGCACATGTTTTAACAAAGGAAATTAACCTTCCGACCCAGTCTTCATGCTTTCTTCTGAGGAGTAACAAATGATTACCAAATTTAGATAAGATCGAAAGGTAAGCCCGAAAGGGATCAAAGTCCCGAGTAGTAAAATCCCCTTCAGTRATAGCTGCGATATCATCTTCATGCAAAGCTGTCATATTCATTATCATTATCGTAATCGTCATTACAATACACACGCGGAGAAATAACAGCATAGCAACATTTCTTACTTYGGTTCTTGCTCCACAACTTCATCTTCCACTTCATCGGAGTCTTCGCCATCGTGTCCCAATTGGACCTCGTTACTCTACAACAAACAAGCATCGGACTGAAATATGGACTAAATTCAAAGCTATAATACGGCTTATTACCGCCATATTGAGCTGTACTAACATTACTGATTGAAAATGGGAGCTATACTTTGTAATAAGGTAATACTGAATTTGTAGTGTGTGTTTGAAAATATAAGAGGATAGGATTCTTAAACTTATATTTCTTCTATTAGTATAGGAAATCGCACGACCGGGCTCGAAGAACTTTCATAACATTACTCGTGACTATTAATTCCAAACTGTACGAGAGGTTGTGCGTTTTTTTGTTTATAGTACATTCAGTGAAACAAAATTTTATAAGGAGTACAACTGAAGCCGCAATTGTACTCCTCTCGACCAATGAAACAGTATTACTTTGTTGAATGTAGTATAAGATGTATGTATACCATTTCTTCTTTTTTCTTCTCTTTTCCTTTCCGTTTTTTCTTTTTGTGTTCGTCTCTTATTCTCTTTCTTTCCCGTTCTCTGTCTTTCTTATCCTTGAGTTGGAGCAGCCTTCTGGCTTCCTCCACWGATATCCCGCCAATCTCCCGCTTCTCCTCTTGGTCGAGAGGGACTGGGACTATACTGTGTTCTTCTGTAGTGTCGTCCATTTGTGTCTCCGTTTGATTCGTTGTGTTATTGTTACTTTCAATGGCCTTTGGTTGGAAAAGAATGGGAAACATAACATACATAAGCAAAAACTAAAAATCAAAAATCTAAATAAAGGAATGATAAGTACATCAATAAAATAAAATAAAACAACGAATAAAAGTGATACAAACCTCTCCATCATCATCAAAKACTATCTTAGTATTCAGCTTAATTTTTTTGTTCACAAGTTTTTTCACATGTTTTATTTTGGATACTACGTTTTTTTCTTTCTTGGAACTTCCCTTCGTTTCCTGAAATTCAAGCAGAAMAATTAGAACATAACTTGAGCTAAAACTGATCTTAATCTGTAAATAACATATCACTATAYATGCTTGGTCTCCCTGTGTTCATACCTCTTGTTCTAGGGGCATGGGCTCTACTTCAACATTTCTTCTCTTAATGAARAGCACGCTGTCATCTTGGTCAGCAGTGTCATCAACCCCTGTGAAAGTAGTACCCAATCCCTTATCCTTATCRCCTTCTTCAGTGTCTGWTTCTTCTTCGCTGGATTCRCTGTCTCCAATGTCWAMATCTWGAGACAGACTYGAATCTTGCTTTGATGTGCTRGGTGTGGMCTGGTTACCAAATTTTTTCTCTGCTTTCTTTAATAGAATATGCGAATATTTGAATGTATGAATCATGAGCCAATAATAGTATGAAATAATTTATACAAGTTAAGGCAAAAAAAGGAATTATCCATGTACCTTCATAAATCTG